ATATAGACTTAGAAATGTACAACACTATTCCAAAGTAAACAATAGCCAATCAGCAGGTGGCTAACTTATACAGTGCCTTGCAAAAGTATTCATCCCACTTGTCGTTTTTCCTATTTTGTTGCATTACAACCTGTAATTTAAATTGATTTTTATTTTGATGTCATAAAATGGACATACAAAAAAGTCAAAATTGGTGAAGTGAAATGAAAAAAATAACTTATTTCAAAAAATTCAAAGAAAATAACGGAAAAGTGGTGCGTGCATATGTATTCACCCCCCTTTGCTATGAAACCCCTAGATAAGATCTGGTACATGATCTCAGTATATATACACCTGTTCTGAAAGGCCACTAAGCAAGGGGCACCACCAAGCAAGCGGCACCATGAAGACCAAGGAGCTCTCCAAACAGATCAGGGTTGGGTTTTAAAACAAATATCCGAAACTTTGAACATCCCACGGAGCACCATTTAAATCCATTAGTAAAAAATGGAACGAATATGGCACCACAACAAACCTGCCAAGAGAGGGCCGCCCACCAAAACTCACAGACCAGGCAAGGAGGGCATTAATCAGAGAGGCAACAAAAATACCAAGGATAACCCTGAAGGAGCTGCAAAGCTCCACAGCGGAGATTGGAGTATCTGTCCATAGGACCACTTTAAACCATACACTCCATAGAGCTGGGCTTTACCGAACAGTTGCCAGAAAAAAGCCATGGCTTAAAGAAAAAAATATGCAAACACGTTTGGTGTTCACCAAAAGGCATGTGGGAGACTCCCCAAACAAATGGAAGAAGGTACTCTGGTCAGATGAGACTAAAATTGAGCTTTTTGGCCATCAAGGAAAACTCTACGTCTGGCGCAAACCAAACACTTCTCATCACCCTGAGAACACCATCCCCACAGTGAAGCGTGATGGTGGCAGCATCATGCTGTGGGGATGTTTTTCATCGGCAGGGACTGGGAAACTGGTCAGAATTGAAGGAATGATGGATGGCGCTAAATACAAGGAAATTCTTGAGGGAAACCTGTTTCAGTCTTCCAAAAATGTGAGACTGGGATGGAGGTTCATCTTCCAGCAGGACAATGACCCTAAGCATACTGCTAAAGCAACACTCGAGTGGTTTAAGGGGAAACATTTAAATGTCTTGTAACGGCCTAGTCAAAGCCCAGACCTCAATCCAATTGAAAATCAGTGGTATGACTTAAAGATTGCTGTACACCAGCGGAACCCATCCAACTTGAAGGAGCTGGAGCAGTTTTGCCTTGAAGAATGGGTAAAAATCCCAGTGGCTAGATGTGCCAAGGTTATAGAGACATACCCCAAGAGACTTGCAGCTGTAATTGCTGCAAAAGGTGGCTCTACAAAGAATTGACTTTGGGGGGGGAATAGTTACGCACGCTCAAGTTTTCTGTTTTTTTTTTTGTCTTATTTCTTGTTTGTTTCACAATAGAAAATATTTTGCTTCTTCAAAGTGGTAGGCATGTTGTGTAAATCAAATTATACAAACCCCCCAAAAATCCATTTTAATTCCAGGTTGTACGTCAACAAAATAGGAAAAATGCCAAGGGGGGTGTACACTTTCGTAAACCACTGTACTGAAGCTATATAATGACATGTTTCACACTATGGCTCAAATATCTAGAGGTTAAGAGGTTGGGGCCCATAATGCTTAAATTACTCATTCTAACAGCTTACTCTAATGCTGTGGCCACCATACAATAACATATAGAACAACAAATGATATGACCTCTACAGGGGCCACACTGTTTTACTATAGACAAAAAGCTGTAGCGTTTGTACAACAACAACAACAACAACAACAACAACAACAACAAAAGAGAAGAAAACTGACTAAATAATTTCGACCTTGTGTGAAAGTTGTAACTGCAGATCACAATGAAATACCCAGAGCCCTTCGCTTTGGCTTGGTGTTAATGGGTCAGGAAACATATTTATTTTCCAGCCTGAGTCTGCTCTGTCAGATAGCAGTCTCATGTCTGGGCTGTGACTAGGGTAACACATTTTGACTTTCCTAAAAACAGATCTGCTCTGGCTGAGTGCCTAGGGATGTAGACTTCCTGGTGTATGAGTGACCTATACGGATGTAGACTTCCTAGTGTGCAAGTGTCTTTCAACACCAATATATTTCTGTGAAGTGACCACCGCAGCTGTGTGCTGTGAAAACCACTAGTATTGTTTGTAGACTTCCATCATGTTGACTCTGGCTGTACCCAAGCCAACTACATGTGCTTTGTATAGATATTAATGGTAGATAGGTCAAATAAATATGCTAGCCTGCAATGGGAGTGAATGCATGTCAAATTTCTTAAAAGTAAGATGTTACAAAACAATCAGTGCAATGGGTAATTTAGCATGTTAAAAATATTGAACACATGAAAATGGTTGAATGCATTTAGTGAAACGAAACTGGTCAAAATGTGCCTTTACACTGGATTCTTCCCACTGTGCATATTTTACCACTAAGTGGCAATAGAGTTGATATTTTCATGTGATTACTTGTTATATTTGATATGTGACAATACTGATTCCCAGTTGGTAGAGCATGGCGCTTGCAACACCAGGGTTGTGGGTTTGATTCCCACAGGGGGCCAGTATGAAAAATGTATGCACTCACTGAAACTGTAAGTCGCTCTGAATAAGAGTGTCTGCTAAATGACTAAAATGTGAATGTGAATATGCCATTTGAGCAGACGCGATGACCTGATATATTTTGGGAAATAAGAATAGGTCGATTGGTTTTAAGTTGAAGCAGAATATCAAAATACCAAATTATAGTAACACAACATAATAACTATCATGAATAAGCATTAATACATGATTTATAAACTTTAAACAAATATATTTGTGAACATGTATACGCATTATAATCCTTCCATTCTATGAGCAACATTTACATTTACAATAATTTATAAAGCATTACAAGCATTCTATAAACATTTACTAAAATCAATTCAATATAAAGTCCCCAGTTTAGGGGACCTGCACGGTTCTGTTACCGGTTCCGACCGACATGAATATAAATCACTCATAAATTGATCTGTGGACACGTAGATCGAAATGGCTTGCATTGAGAGGTAGCCTCGATTCTCACGGACACAGGAGTATGTCTCTTTTGCCTGTGTGAAGCAGGATGTGAAATAAGACAACACTTGAAGTTGGGTTAATATTTTCATCATATTTGTACTGTGTACTTGAGCTTGTGTCCTCAACAGTGAATACAGCTCAGCAATTTATAATTTTTTTTACAGAAAGGTGACATTTAAACCTTTCTCGGAGTATGCAGGATTACTAGTTATTGTTTATGGCCCTCTCATGATAAATAATAACTTTTGGGGAATACGTAAATTACATTTCCGATTACATTTAGTTACATTGAAGATGTTTTTAAAGCTTATTCAATAAAGTTACTATAAAGTGTTACCGATATGACTGTTATGTAGAAAGCAGCTATCTCCTTCAGATCTTTGAGGTCAGTATCCAAACACATTGAGAAAGATTAGTTTTACTTCCTTACTGAAACCACAATTTCCCATTATAGATACCCATCTGATCCACTCAGGCAAAATCATGCTTAGAGTAAACGATTTCCATAGAAGTAACTTCGAATCACGCTCTAAATACAGGACGGACACAATAAGAGCCAAGCAGTAGGATGTAATTTCCACATTACTAGATGCCAAATCCTTCTCACTAGCTAGGTCTCCAACAAATTGGCGACACATTTTCATGCAAATATTCTAAAATATGCATTAAGAAAATGTGCAAATGTTCCCAGCAGTGGTGTTTCCACAAAACAGACTTGACATAGTGCACACAACATGTACTTTTTCGCTAAAGTTTTCATGTACTGAATCAAAATCTAAAGTTCAATGTGTTTCCATCACATTTTCAACTCTACTGATAGCTTTGTCACAGAAACTGTTGCAAAATAGCAAATGTGCCTAATCCGGTCTTGGCATGTGCGCTCTAGCCACCATCTTGAAGATACAGTGCGGGTAAACTGTGCGGGTAAACTGTGCGGGTAGGCTAGTCTACATGATGGGATTATTATTATTTATTTGTCAAACGGAAGTCAAGCATCGATCATAATTTCACCAGAATAAGACCCTCAATATTTATTGGGTATATATTTAAGGAGCATCAAGATCACTGTGCACCAGTGGAGGCTGCTGAGGGGAGGACAGCTCATAATATTGTCTGGAACGGCGCGAATGGAATGGCATCAAACACATGGAAACCATGATTTTGATGTTGTTGATACCTTTCCACCTATTCCGCTCCAGCCATTACCACGTGCCTGTCCTCCCCAATTAAGGTGCCACCAAACTCCTGTGCAGTGCACTTTCATTACCTTGTGAAGTTCATCATAACTTATTTAATTTGTAGCCTAATTAACTGCATGGTTTCCCTAAGTCGTAGTGGGAGGACCACACACCATATCATCGTGTGACTCCAAGTTTACTTAGATATGATGGTTATTATATCAATATTTGCATAATTCCTCACATAATTAATTTTACTGACACATAAAGATCCCACCATGTCGAACGAACAAATTGTCTGTCTACATTTATAAAATTGTACCGAAACGTCCTGTTTTCATCATAGCTGTCATGATTTTTGTTTGTATAAAAACTGTGGATGAAAACGTGCTTATAGACATTAATTTATACAGGATGTAATTATGTGTACCTATAAATCTATATCCACCAGAGGAGGCTGGTGGGAGGAGCTATAGGAAGACGGGCTCATTGTATTGGCTGGAACGGTATCAATGGAACGGTATCAAACACATCAATCATATGGAAACCACATGTTTAACTCCGTTCCATTTATTCCGTTCAAGCCATTAAAATGAGCCTGTCCTCCTATAGCTCCTCCCACCAGCCTCTGCTGATATTCATCCAGTCAATAGCGATGTATAATGCTAAATGCAAACAATGTTTCTTCTTTTTACGGATATAGCTAGCTTCACAATGGCCACTGGCTCAATGATGGAGGTGATGAGGACCTCCAACCAGCCTGCAACCTCCAGCCATCCAACCCCCACGCCTACCCCCACCCACAATGACTCAAACACCTGCACTACTCTGTATGACCACAAGGAGTATGCCAGAGTCCTAATGCCCCTCTTCTACTGCATCATCTTCTGCGTGGGGTTGCTGGGTAATGCCCTGGCACTGCATGTCATCCGGCCCAACCTGAAGAAGATGAACTCCACCACACTTTACTCCGCCAACCTGGTCATCTCCGACATCCTGTTCACGCTGTCACTACCGTTACGGATAATCTACTACGCCCTGGGCTTCCACTGGCCCCTGGGGGAGACCCTGTGTAAGATCACAGGGCTGATCTTCTACATCAACACGTATGCCGGGGTCAACTTCATGACCTGCCTCAGTGTGGACCGATTCATTGCTGTGGTCTTGCCGCTCCGATTCGCACGCTTCCGGAAGGTCTCCAATGTCCGGTACATCTGCGTTGGGGTGTGGTTGCTGGTCTTAATGCAAACTTTGCCCCTCCTCTCCATGCCCATGACTAATCCGGAGCCTGACGGCTTCATCACTTGTATGGAGTATCCCAACTTCGAAAAGGTGCCCAACATCGCCTACATGCTGATCGGCGCCGTGTTCCTAGGCTTCGGAGTCCCCGTGGTGACCATCCTATTGTGCTACTCCATACTGTGCTGTAAACTTCGCCTCTCGGCCAAGGCCAATCACCTGACGGACAAGTCGGGGCGCAGCCGCAAAGCCATCGGGGTGATCTGCTGCGTCTCCCTGGTGTTCGTGGTGTGTTTCAGCCCCTATCACATCAACCTCCTCCAATACATGATCCGAAAGCTGATCTATGAACCGGACTGTGCTGAACTCACAGCCTTCCAGATCTCCTTACACTTCACTGTGTGTCTGATGAACCTCAACTCCTGCCTGGATCCATTCATCTACTTCTTTGCCTGTAAGGGTTACAAGAGGAAGGTGCTGAAGATCCTGAAGAGGCAGGTGAGCGTGTCCTTCTCCAGCGCAGTACGGACATCGCCCGAGGGGTCGTCCAGAGACGTCGTAGATGGTAAGAAGATCCACCTCAACAGCACTAGGTACGAACAGTGTGTCCAACAGAATGGTCAAAGGTGAGCGACGACCAACCAACAGACCGGTGAGTCAAAGATCAACCAACAGATCGGAGATCCAACAACCAGCAAACAGACCAGCCAACAGACCGGTGAGCCTACGACCAGCCAACAGACCTTTGAGCCAACGACCAGCCAACAGACTGGTTAGCCAACGACCAGCCAACAGACCGGTTAGCCAACGACCAGCAAACAGACTGGTGGGCAAACAACCAGCAAACAGACCGGTAAGCCAACAACCAACCAAAGCTCAGCCAAAAGACTGGTGAGCTAACGACCAGCCAAAAGATTGGTGAGCCAACAACCAACAAACAGACCGGTGAGCTAAAGAACAACCTGCAAACAGATTGGTTAGCCAATGACCAACCAACAGATTGGTTAGCCAACGACCAACCAACAGACCAGTGAGCCAACAACCAGAAAACAGATCGGTTAAGCAATGACCAGCCAACAACCCGCTAACAGACTGGTGAGAACGATGAGCCAACAACCAGCAAACAGATCGATGAGCCAACGACCAGCCAATTTTATTTAATTTTATTTACAGTGAGCTCCAAAAGTATTGGGACAGTGACACATGTAAGTGAATTTGTCCCAATACTGTTGGTCCCTTAAAATGGACTATGCACACAAAGTATTGTAATTTCTAAAGGGTTCACCCGAAGAGCTAGAGTACAGAGCCAAAACAAACAAAAATTGTCACTGTCCCAATACTTTTGGAGCTCACTGTATTTATTCCTTATTTTACCAGATGAATTGACTGAGAATACATTCTCATTTACAGCAACAATAGACTGGTTAGCCAACGACTAGCCAACTTTGCCCCTAAACTTTGCCCCTCAATGATCAGCAGCCAACAATCAGTGAGAACGGTGAGCCAGACACCAGTAAATTGCAAGAGGATGTCTGAGGAGATAGACTGAACTATAACTGTATAACTGATTAACAGTTTAAAGAGGTATCTCACACCCTCTGCAAATAGAGCCACTGAGGACAGCCAAGGTGGCAGACTGTTTCTTCCTCTTGCCAATACACTAGTGCTGAGCGATTAACTGGAAACATTTCCCCCCGTTATTAAACAACTAATTGACCGACATCCGTTCAATTACTTGAATTCCATTTAGTTATGTTTCTTTGTGAGCTCAACACGCTGTTTCTCTAGAGAGAAATGAAATCATTAATGAGAGAAATGTATTCAATGGGCGTATTTGAGCGGATCACTTTTGTCAAGTCGGTGACCATCGTTGCGCCTACGTGTTGACTGCATATACTTTAGAAACATATACTTCATGTGATCAAAGGACATTACATTTTGACTGCAGTCGACTGCAAATTTCTGTATACACTTCCTGCATTATTCTTCAAATGACCTTTTGATTATTGATACATGTAAAATATTTCAACACCATGTACTAAATGTAACTATGTCCCTCAATTCATTTTATCAGGGTCAATGACATCCATCTTTTTTTACCAAGATGTTCAAATTATTTAATTACTTTGTTCACAATAAGGGTTCCCCTCTGTTTTTGATTAATGTGATGACTGTATGTTGATATCAAACCATTTAATTTTGAATGAATAAGAAATGGAAATAAATAATATCTTGTCTGCTTTTGTGGTGTTCAAGGTTGTGTGGTATTCCTCAGAAAGATACAATGAATGTCCATCCATATCAGTAAGGTTGACCATACTGTAGGCCCACACTGTTTGCCAAACACAACCGCAGTAACTTGTCTGAGCCCTAAGAGGGCAGTGTTATATAGAAAGAGAAAGAGAATACATTAGAAAATGTACTTGTGAAGTAGATTGCAAATGGAGATTGATTGCTTTATAACACGACTGTGTCCTTTATTCACTGGATGCTTGTTTGTAAAGTAGTTTATAAAATAGCCGGGGCACATGCCTAAGAAAGTTGAGGGTATGTTTTATTCATTTGGAACGACCAAACATGAGCAGCCCACATAGGCCTACATATGCCTTTCCACCAAAACATTTACACTAGGTAAACTAGCCTATATTGTTGTTTTGTCGGGGTGCTGTATGGAATGATATTAGTGCCACCACAAATTTAATCTGAATTTAATCATTTTGAATTTGTATTAATTTAATTATCTAATACCCATAGTGTTGGACTCCATAGGATTATGCTTATAGCAGGTGATTGAACAGATTCTGGTGAACATTTAAGTAATGAGTCTGACTCCAACCTAAAGAATCACTGACGGAAACACAGACATGATTCCAACCACATGATGACTATCACAGACTGTTGTCACAACAACATATTGCTAAAAACACAACACACCATCTGGTATAGACAGACTGACGAAAATAGTGATTTGCAACTTTATTTCTGAAGATTTACCTCAGAAGCAAAGCATCTCTAACAAATGAATTAATAATATTTAACTAACTTTATTTATATAGTTTATATGACTATTCATATTATTTTCCACACTCAATGCATAGGGGGTATCAAATTGGCCCTAATCTGGATTGAGACGACACCCTTCACAATATCAATATCAGTACCTCTCTCTAACCAGATTACAAGCTAACCGACTCATCATAACAAAATATGCAACACATTTAACCTTTAAGGCAGCAACCACATGGTGCAGTGTAGTCTTCTATTGAGTATAGGAAAAATCACGTAGTGTGGGAAATTCTTACAGATGTTTATCTCCATTGTGTTTCAAATCCTCAGTGGTGGAGATGATCTGTGATGATAATGGAAAAGATGAGTCTGCATGGAGAGAATACTTATTTTCTGTTTACATATAAACTAAAAGTTAGCTTTCATGACCCTTAAGGCTTGTGATTTACTGTGTCCAGTTTGTAATCCACTTAAGCTTGATCTGAAAAATATGAAATGTGCCTTCTTTTCAAACACACACACACACACACATTTCCATGCTATGCATTCATGAACCGGTCCATCCTTGACCTTGAGGCGTCTCACTCACAGTTTGCATCCATTAAAAAGCTGTGGCTGTGTAAAAACCATCTCTCAGCGTCAGCGTGAAATGTCTATTACCACGTGATATTATTTCCTGTTTATATGGCGACTACCTCAACATCCTGTTTTTAATTACTTCTCTCCGGCAGCAGATGTTTCTGGCAGCAACCTGCTGCGGATTACTCCCGCGAGAGCTAATGCGCTATGACGGACCCCACTTTTCCAATCAATAACTTGCCCTAAAACTGCCATCTTCTCTGCCAAACGCAATACCCAATTCTAATCAGACATAATTTTATTTAATTGCAGATTGTAGCTGTAGACCTTTCTGGTGTTCTCTGATAAAGAAATAAGAGGCCTGCACATGCAGAAATAATATGCAGCAATATAATCTCTTTATCTAAGTATACTTTTTGTCCAGCACTGGTTATTTAAAGTTTGGGAAGTACGTATCACTTTCTTGTGTTGCTTCCATAGTTAACTACTATTTCAACAATGAAAACGATACAACACAGGAAGTGAAGGGGGCTTTACACTTTCTCACTGTAGTCAACCAATAAAATGGTCCTTCTGAAATAACACTGTGTATTCACCTCCTTCTTTGTGTATTGACCTCGACACTCAAAGAGAGAGAGAAAGAAAGAGAAACATGGCTGCAAGTCACATCGTATCACAAGTCCCTTGAAGTGTTTGTGAGGTCTCTTTGATAGAATGCTGAGATTGAGAGCAAGGACATGATAGAAATCAATGACGTAAGTAGGTGCCCTTTTACTGAGCTGCCAGCGCTATGTAGAACTTGATAATCTCTTCTGAAGAAATGCATTACATTTAGTTTTGAGATGATATTTTATTTTATTTTTGGGTAAGTTTTAAATAGATAAACAGAACATATTGGTTGATCAAACACAAATCTTACATGGAGAAGCATCTATTTTGTCTCAGTTGTCTCAGATTAGAACACACTAGTCTAGATCATGCTAGATCATGATACATACAGTACATCCGGAAAGTATTCAGATCCCTTCACTTTTTCAACATTTTATTACTTTACAGCCTTATTCTAAAATGGATTAAATTAATATTTTTACTCATCAATCTACACATAATACCCCAAAATGACAAAGTGAAAACAGATTTTTGGAAATGTTTGCAAAAAAAACAAAAATAAATACCTTATACACATAAGTATTCATCAGTAAAAAGGAACATGACAGTCCGCTTGGAGTTTACCAAAAGGCACCTAAAGGACTCTCAGACCATGAGAAACAAGATTCTCTGGACTGATGAAACCAAGATTGAACTCTTTGGCCTGAATGCCAAGCGTCACGTCTGGAGGAAACCAGGCACCGCTCTTCACCTGGCCTATACCATCCCTACGGTGAAGCATGGTAGTGGCAGCATCATGCTGTGGGAATGTTTTTCAGCGGCAGGGACTGGGCGACTAGTCAGAATTGAGGGAAAGATGAACGGAGCAAAGTACAGAGACATCCTTTCCAACAGGACAACAACCTAAGCACACATCCAAGACAGGAGTGGAAGTTATCTGAATGTCCTTGAGTGGCCCAGCCAGAGCCCGGACTTAAACCCGATCTAACATATCTGGAGAGACCTGAAAAAGCTGTGCAGCGACGATCCCCATCCAACCTGACAGAACTTGAGAGGATCTGCAGACAAGAATGGGAGAAACTCCCCAAATACAGGTGTGCCAAGCTTGTAGTGTCATACCCAAGAAGACTTGAGGCTGTAATCGCTGCCAGAGGTGCTTCAACAAAGTACTGAGTAAAGGGTCTGAATACTTATGTAAATGTGATATTTCAGTTATTTGTTTTTAATAAAGTAGCAAAACCTGTTTTTGCTTTGTCATTATGGGGTATTGTGTGTAGCTTGATGAGCAAAAAAAAAAACTATTTTATCAATTTTAGAATAAGGCTGTAACGTAACAAAATGTGGAAAAAGTGAAGGGGTCTGAATACTGTCCGAATGCACTGTAAAGTATCATTACAGTTTAATAATATAACATGCTATAATATTTTATGATTTTA